ATTCTTTTGAATTGGATGAGCCGAGCAAAAAACTTTGCACGATCAACACCCAGTACGGTCTGTACCAATACAACCGGATGGCTATGGGATTGAAACCGGCTCCTGATTTTGCCCAGTACTACATCGAGAAAACTCTACGCGACCTAAAACAAAAAGGTGTCGAAATTTATATTGACGATGTTGGCCTGTTCTCCAATTCCTACGAAGAACATATGGCCTTAATCCAAGAAGTGTTGCAGCGACTACAAGCTGCTGGTTTCAAAATCAATCCTTTGAAATGCGAGTGGTGTGTCCAAGAAACTGATTTCTTGGGCCATTGGTTGACTCCTGAAGGCGTCAAACCGTGGAAGAAAAAGATTGATGCCATCCTCAAGATGTCAGCACCTACGAATGTAACAGAATTGCGTGCATTTCTTGGTGCTGTTACCTTTTACCGCCACATGTGGCTGCGTCGATCTCATCTTCTCAGGCTTTATATATATTGTGTGTGTCTGTATCTTTTAAAATCCTTTTGGCAACACGTTTGGTATATGGTCCTGTTTGCGCCGTGCAATGAAATTCATTATACACACTCACTCACTCCTGCTATTATTATTATTATGCACCCATCTCCTCAGTTTGATCAGGATAAACATGTACACAGCCCCGGCTTACTTCATGGCCATCATTGTGGTCTTCACCATATATATGCTTTCATCGAAACACTTTAAGGACCGCGATAGGAGTCAACCTCCCACGGATATTAAGAAAAAGTCTGCCAAGAGGGCTGAAATGGACGACTACTCCAATCAAATGACCATCTTCTTTGGCCTTTCCATTTACGATTGCTGCATCCTTTGGTGCATGATGTTGAATTTTAGTACCAAGGGTAGCATTGGATGCTTTGAAACCCTTGGTATTTCCATAGCCGATTCCTTGTTTGGAATGTCATCCACCATTGCTGGGACGATGGTCGGTGCGTGCGGCACCATTGGGGTCATTTCTCTGCTATCCATGGGAAGGCTATCTCAATTCATGTCCGATATTCAACTGATCTGTGGTGGAGTGATCGTCATGGCAATGGGCTTCTTGAGTCTCACACTTATAGATGATGATTCCGGCGACAATTCTTCGTGGATCTATCTTTTGTCAATCTTTATGATTTACTCCATTGGATATCCCATTGGACATACGGTAGTGATTGGCTTGTTTTCCAAGAGTAAGTCCCTGGTCATTTATGATTTCTTCATGTACACAGAGTATATTTATTGCGCATGGAATGGAGAGAGAGAAAAATAAATTGAATTGAAACTCATGTTTTTTTTTGGTTTGTTGTCCAAAGTTGTTGGGAGGAGACCACAAGGGACGCTGTTGGGTTGGTTTGCAGCTGCTGGATCACTGGCACAGCTTGTATTTCCCATCGTTGCTGGCTATGTGGAACACTACCTTGGCTTTCTCCCCCTTTTCTACATTTTGACTGGAATCTTGGCCGTTTTCACGCTCATCACTCTGCTTGGCCAAAGGACACTCTCCATGTTGTCACAGTATGAGAGATTTATCACCTTCAAGAGTCATATCATTGAATCGCTTGGATCGATCTTTAATCCGAGTAAGGTGAGCTTTCGAGTCGATTGCAAATGTTGATCGTTGGCCGTGGCCGTTTGAATATTTTCAAACAAACAACAACCTTTTGA